TTTTTTTTTTTTTTTTTTTTTTTTTTTTTTTTGTTTTATGCTTTTCCCTCTTTTTTTTTATTTGTTATAACTGTTAAAATGTGAACCAATAGAGCGAAAATAAAAGTGAAAGCGGCAAGAAAAAGAAAGAAAAGGCAAACAAAACAAAAACAAAAACCATCTATAAAACTGCTGATTATAGCTTTTATTGAACAATGCTAACTGAAGTTGAAATGATCTGGACAGTAAACTATAAAATGACTATGTAAAATATCTAGTTTTCACTGACAACAGTTACTTCTTTTTCTCTTCTTTTTTTTTCATTATTTTTAACGGGTATTTGTGGTCTAACATTTCAATACCTAATTTAGACTTTAGTATTTTTGTTGATAATGATGGTAAAGAAAACAAAGAAAGAAAAAAAGAGGAAAATCATTTGCATCAAATAAGGAGAAGCAGAATGTTGCGTCACTGAAGCAAAAAAGTTCCCGAACACTAATGCTTACCATATCAACAAAAACGATTTGAAACTCCTCATCGATCGTTATATATTTATCGGTTGTCCGCTTCCCTTCTATCTGATTCTCTTTTGCTACCAATTTCGCTCCTCAGTTTGGCAGTTACATATCCTCAACAATCACTTTATTGGCTAAATATTTTGCTGAAAATTGCTGTGATTCTAGGCAACAGTCTGGTGATAAATTATGTTGCTGTTGTGCTATCAACTTCAGCAATTCTTCCTCACTTTTATCTTCCTCTTCTTCTCCTTCCTCATCGCCATCGTCAATCGTCGTCATCGTCGTCGTTACTGTTGTCTTCTTTTCCTTCTTCTTTCTCTTCTTCTTCTTCTCCTTCTTCTTATTATTATTACTTTTCACCTTCCTGGACTCCTCTTCATTTTCATTCTCGTTGTCCTCTGACTTGTTCTCCCGTTGATGCTTTAGCATCATTTTTTACTATTATTGTATTTTCTGTACTTGACTTTCTGAGGCAATTGAGACAAAAAAAAATAAACGACAAATAAAAGGAAGCACAAAATAAGAAGTAAATTGAAGCAGAGATAAAAGAGAAGGATTTTTAAAAACAAAAAGAAATTAAACATGAAATAAATCCTGAAAGTATGAGAAAAAATTGTTTACAGAAATTTATGAATGATAAGAAAATTTTTCTTATTTTCTGAATTTATCCAAGAAATTAAGGGGGTATTTTTGTTAAAAACACTGAAAAACTTATAGCATCTTATCTGACACGGAAATTTGCGTGTGTTTCTGCTGTATGTGTGTCATCTGTGTGTTTATGTCTTTATTTCTTTTTGGGCATTTATGTGGGCAGAAATTTGCTTCATACTGCTGCTGCTGCTCCTACTGGTGTTCATTGGCATTGTCACACGCCAGTTTCTTAGTTTTGTTCTCAAAATTTATTATATTCAATGACGACACATTTCCGCTTTTCTGTGCATCTAAAATAACAGCAAAATACTGCTTGATTGCTCTTAAACGGTCTGGTACCAGGAGCTGAAAATTGAAGTGTCAAGAATGATACTTATCTGTGTCAAAACAGCAACAACAGCAACAA